CATCAGCCTAATGTGAACAAAGGACCACAATGAAGGGAATAAGATGTTTTCAAATGTTGCCGGCTCAGAGTGGACGTATTTGGACACAGATTTAAAGACCACCTCCAGAGAAAATCTAGTTGTTGTTTTTTTTAACTCATGTTTTACGTCCATATTGTGATTTTTATATGGTCAAAGATGTGTCACTTTTAAAGTGAAGCAGCAGTGTACCAGTGACAGTAGGACAGATTTAGACTCCTCGGTTTTAGGACATAACAAACAAACAGACAAAAAAGAAAACAATCATGTAAACTTGCAGAGTGGAGCTTTCCTTATTATTCTTCAGTTTCAGGTTTAAACATGTGGCTGTGCACAGTTGTGGGTGAGCTGGTGTGCTCGAGCTCAGTGAGCAGTAGAGGGCTGGTGGGACAGAGAGGTGAGACTTCATCTTATTATAGGGAAAGCAACAGTGCTGAGTTACATCTAAGGCAAGAAAGGATTCTTTTAATGGAAAAACCTCCATAATCTGTAGCTTTGATACACAGAGATGAGTTTTTGACTGCACTCGCTGCAGCTCGAGCACACCGGCTCACCTACAACTCTGCTCAAACACTGAGAAACTAAAAAGCTGCAATATTGGAGTAATTGAGCCACACATGTTCCAACCGGAAATAGATGCTGAAGAAGAATAATGATGCATAAAATCCTGTCGTGCAAGCAGATGAGATTCATTCCTGAGGTTTGTTACGTATGGATCCCTGAAAATCTGAATCTGTGCCCATAAGTGGCCAATTAACTATATTTATACCTTTAAACAACTGAAAGAGAAACGTAGCATCCTTGTTCACACTGTGCCTCCTTAAATATTAGTTTTTCAAGACTGTGTTTGTGACTAGCTTTTTTGAGACGCTGCAGTTTCAAGGTGGAAATGCTCAGCCATGGGGTTCAATGCTTGAGTCTTCTAGCATATAAAAAACACCACATGGACCCGTTAACACGATAAAAAATTGTATTTTTCACTGTAGAGGATCTCTGAAAATTGCTTTTATTCTCAGTTGCTCTTCCTGAGTTTTCTTCCATCTTTTCCCGTTGAAGCGTTTTGTTGAGCAAATCTAAACCGACGGTCTAAAGATTGAGGATGTTGTCGAGGTGGTGCGTCGTATTGAGCGACATAAATAAAACCGAAGGAAGCAGCAAGATGAGTAGAAATGAAGATCAGGAGGTGCAGAGAAAGAAAGAGGCGAGAAAACGAAAGAGTGAGTCGAGAGAGGTGGAGAAGGAAGCTTGAAAGGTAGACGAGTGTGTCTCAGAGGGGGAAAGAGAGATTTGGAAAGCTTTTGGATGAGATCATGGGAAGCTGAGATCTGTGTGTTTAAAATGAGGCTTAACAGGGCTCGGCCTGGACCCGCCTCTCCTTTATGAACACACACACACACAGAGTTCAGCAAAGACTGCTCCTTTCTTTTTTTATGGCTGTGATTGCAGGTCCTGCAGACTAACACACAGCTGCACCTGTCCCTGACACGGCTCAGCAGGAAGAGGCGTGGCCTTTGGCACCGGTCCTGCCTGCATTTAAAAATGCTCCATCACCATGGCAACGCTGGTCACAGTTTCACCTTGCTTGCTTGTTTCTTATCAGCGCGTTTTCTCCTTTCGTTCTATGCGCAGAAAGTGAGGTAACCTCTCTGCCCCGGTTCCTTCTCCACTGTTGTTGTAGACATTAATGTATAACACAACACTAGATCTTATCGAGGCAACAGTCATCAAGAGAGCAGGTCTTCCTCTCGTGATGATGAAATCCTGTTTCGAGCAGCGGCTTACAAATACTCTCACTGCTGATAAGGAAGTTTATGGAAACAGTATCTTTAAAAACAGAGTAGTTTCACACGACTAAATCAAGATTACAGGATTTTGAGACTTAAAGAAGAAGGATTGAGCAAAACAAAAAAGCTCCGACATGAGTAGGTGTCGATGCTTAAGTTTAAAACAGAATAAAAACAACATAAACTTTGTTACTGACAATAGCAATGGAATTATGTAGCCTGAGCTGTAGCCTCACTTGACTTGTACCATGTATACCTCTATGGAAACAGCACGACCATGACTAGAAGAACAGAGACATGACATGAAGCGTGACGCTATTTTTTAAGTTAATTTTATAAAACAAAAAACTTTTTTTTTTTTTTTCAAATGAAATCAACAGTGTCTAATACTGGGGGACAGATGGTGTCTGTACATGCTGCAGATATTTTAATTCTTACGTCTTTAATTAGTTTTTTTATACTTTTCTCCAATCTGTTTTGTGAAAACACTGCCTGCAGTTCAGCCCAGGGCGGCTGAAAAGTCCCCTGAAATTTTGTTATATGACTGTTGGTCACAGCTCAGTCAATAATGGTTCTCCGTTGTGCAAAGGAATGCAAAATGTTTTGTTTTTTGTTTGATTCCTGCAAACAGTTTATTTTTTGGTGAATTTTTAAATAAAAAAAGGAAAGTTGAATTTAGTTATTATTTTGTAAACAATGATGAAAAAAAAAACACTTTTTGTAAGTGCCTGTGGGTGTTACCAAATTACTGGAAAGTGATTCTGCACACTATAGTTATTTTGTTACTGACATTTACATTTTTTTCTAAACTTGTCTCTGGGTCTGAACGCCTGCTTCATATACTGTAGGTGTGGGCTTTAAAAGAAGAGGGCACTGAGGAGAGCAGGGCCGTAATAACAGAAAATAACTGCTGCTCAGGTGGTTTATGGGAAATGTAGGATTCAGTGTTTTTGGAGAATGGTCAGTAATAGATGCTAAAAGTCAAGACATTGCTGCCTCTTTCACTTCAAATTTTACAGGAGCTACAACAAAGCGTTTCAGTCAGAGGGGGAGAAGAGGTGCGGCAGCAAAGTAAACTACAAGAAAATCAAAACTAAAAACAAGTAAATGTGCATAAAAAAACTTGACTGAGTGTGACCGTGCAGTTTAACGGTAGTCCTGAATGCAGGAGAATGCACTTTTAACCGTATTTTTCAGAATAAGGGCTCTGATCCTTAGATGACTTTTTCAAACATAAATTTGACCTTTCTTTGCCATTAGCATTTAGTGTCAGTGGTTTAAAATGATCATTGTGAATCTTTCTGTAGTCAAACAAACACGTCGTATGAGATGCTAATGCGACCTCTTCTCCATTCAGTTCTGCAAACATCTAAAATCAGATCCACGACAAATAATAACAGCACATTTTAGCTCAGTCATACTTGTTTACACCATTTATTCAAAATGCATAGAGTGTAAAATTGCAAGCAGTAACCTTTGAAATAGCTCAGATGTTGAGTTTGTGGCGGGTAAACCTGTGACCGTATTCATTCCCGTCTGTTTTGTTCCACGCCTCGTACCTGAGGTTAATTTGAATAGAGAAGTGTGTTTGGTTTAATGAGAGCGAGTTGACTGGAGGACAGACTGTCAGTGTGGTTCCACCTCGACATCGCTGGGTCACTTTCCTCTGAAGTGCCACATTTGAATCGAGCCCAGGGCTGCAATTATTCTTTGTAAGGCTCATTATTGTTACAGCGAAACACAAACTGTCTCAGAGCAAAGCAGCTGTTTCAAGTGAACATCACTAACAGATCTTATCAGGACAGATCAGGGGCTTAGTAACGGAGACGGCGTACAGAAAATTAAAGATGTTATTATTTCTAAACATCTAATATCGACATGGCTCATAAAAAGCTCAGGGTACCACAGGTAAATGTTGGAGTGTGGAGTATTACGCAGCACAGTCATCGCATCAGCTGCAAGTTTGGCTTTTTCCTTCTATCCTTCGCCTACTGAGTAATTTAGCACTTGAAAAGGTCAGTAGAGCAGCTTTAATGGAATACCTTTATGTGTGGTTGTAAAAATGTTAGCACACAGTTTTATACAGAAATTAGGCCTTAAAGCAGGAGTGCTTTTAGGTGATTTTCATTTCACCTTTCCAATCTGTAAATGCGGCAAAATTTAGTGACTGTTTATGTCCTTCAGATGGGTTTTTGGCCTCTTAAAGGTGAAGAGTTTCAAATGTTTGGCCAGCATCTAGCTGTCAGAGACTCCTGACTACAGATTTGGCCATTTTTTTTTTTCCTGATCCCTTGACTTTTGCTCGTATCAGTTCCAACAGCCAAATGTCTTTGCAGCTCACTTGATCTTATGAAACGGAGCTCAGCAGTGGAATAGGTGGAATTTTTCTGGTTTTGAGAGGATACCGATATTGAAATCTGTAATTGCGCCTTCAAAGAAAACGTTGGAGCCATTTCATTTTAGGAATAACAATAGTAAAAGAAAAAAAGGTTTTAGGAATGTAAACTGCATCCTGGTTTTTATCCCAGTGATTGCTTTTATTCCTCAAAGATTTTTTTATTGTGTTTCATATTTATTTATCTTGATCTTGTTTATTTTATCGTGCCTTTTTACTTCCTTGCTGTTATATTGATGAATGATGGAATACTGAGCACTTTGTTGTCTTGTCACTTAATCAAGTACCTGCCTGTCAAGTTCAATGTGTGTTTTGTTGTGGAATGCCAAACGCCATTGTTTTTCTGCAAAACAAATCTATCCACGGGTGTTACTAAAGTAACCTTGAACCTTGAACCTTGCAGACTTTGCAGGAATTGAAGATGAATGGCATCTGTCTTGGTTCAATAGAGGATCATGTTGGTTCTTGGGATTTATTAAGAAATCACGTGGTGCCCTCTAGTGGTGATGCTTCAGAACAACATTACATGAAGTTGCATGAGGAGTCTTCAGAGGATGAAAATACAACATAAGATGCTTAAAAATGTGTTTGAAAAGTCAATAAACCCAATAAGTATATTCATTTTAACTTTTCTCTTTTTGACAAAGGAGGAGGTTTATAACATCCAGGCCAAGAAATAAATGATCTCCACTCTCAGTTTAACGGCCACTTGTGCTTTCTTTTAAGGATCAGTTAACCCTGCTGCTCCACGCACTTCAACACTTCAGCGGCAAAAATAAACGTTGTGTGTCTGTGCTTTGCAGTGAAGGAGGAGTGTGTGTCAGAGGAGGAAGAGGAGGCGGTGAAGGATGCTCTAGTGGAGGAGATTCTCCAGCAGGGAGACACAGCCATCATCTATCCTGAAGCCCCGGAGGACGAGCAGAGTCCAGCAGAGACCGGAGGCGCTGATGAAAACGGTAATTTATACGCAAACACACGCCTGTGTAACTTTGCCAGACAAGGTCTGAATGTGATAATAATGTCTCATATTTCAGGAAGTGTTTACAGATCAGCCAAGTGTCATTTTGGAATCATCAATATTGAATAATGAAGTTAGATTTTGTGTTTATAGCACTGAAATTGCATCAAAATGTTTTGTCACAGTGTTGTTAAAGCCCACTACATTTTAAATTCTTCATCATTAGAGGATTAAGTGACGAAAAGAATTCAGTTTGCTGTTTGTACACTTTGCTTTAAGTGTCCACACAGTCAGTGGCACAAAGTAAAAAAGCTTACATATATGCAGTGTCAGATATATCAAGCCTGCTCCCTTTCTTAACTCAAACAGCCAATCAGATCTTATGATAATGGAGCGTGTTGTCCCAGACTGCAAGCACTTTTCAGAGGCAGCATATCTGAGCTGTTACCAGTCTGCTGCTTTGCCACAACCGCCAAAATCCACTCCAGTCGCTCGTGTGAGCCATACATTAGCTTTACTGTTCATTTCATTGTTATTTATTGATTTGTTTGGTTTTCACTACCACGTTAACAATAAAAGTATTACACTGTCTGTGAGTCATTTTCAAAAGTGTATAAAATTATAATTAAAGTATTTGAATTCAGCCATTTCTCTCTGGTTAATCATGTACATTAGGTAGGGCTTGTAGTTTTTATCCTTATATTGTTTTCAGTTATATCTCCCAGTTCTAACCTGTGTGTCTGTATAAACAGGTACAAGTTCAAAGTCACTTGTTAATGTTACAAGAAACTTTTTTTTTTCTTATTGATTTTATTTTTTAAAAAAAGGTCATGTAAAAATGAGCTTTATTTATCGGTTATGTCGACTAATATTAAAGATACGCGTCATTAGAACTTATAAACTTGGTATTTTAAGTGCCATGAGATGCCGTACACTTTGAATTGAGTATTTCACTTCAGTTCAGTTGTATTTATATAGTACCAAAGAGTTTAAATGTAAAAGACGAAAATGCTCAGATTGTCATATGAAGCAATATCACAATCATCCAATCTTAACTCAGGTGTCAGTGAGAGGACAGTCAAGCACTACAGCCAAAAAACACAGATGTAGTCACATATGTCTTAGTGCACAATCAACCTCAAAGAACATGAAGTGCTGACACTGCAGTTGAGTATGAAGCTCTTCTTTAGAAGCTATTTGGCGCCATGAACACGTGAAAGACACAAATTTGACTTCAGCTGCTGCTAAAACAGTAAGATTTCAGTAACACAAAGACAGTAGAGCCGTTACACTTTCTACATAACTAGTTTGAGTTGTTTGGTCACAGAATAAGTCTACAGTTCATCTGTTTTGTTTGCTTCCAAAGACAGCAGTCTCTCTTGGAGATCTTCATGAGTGATGGCTTGCTTTTTTTACTTGCACCAAGCCGTTACGTGGCCATTCGCAGCATGACGTTGGTGTGAATGTTTGAGAAGAAAGTTAAATGTTACAAAAATAAGGATTTGGAAAGGTGTGGTGGGAGGATTTTCCAGAAGCTATCTGACCATCGGAGCAGCCCTTTAGATGGACTTTACGGGCAGTTAAAGTCAGATGAAGGATGGTAGAAATGAAGCATCCTCCCTCACGCTCTCCTCCATCTCCTCCACCACAGGAACGCCAGACTCCTTCTCCCAGTTGCACACTTGCCCCTACTGCTCCCGGGGCTACAAACGCAACGCCTCGCTGAAGGAGCACATTAAGTATCGCCACGAGACCAGCGAGGACAACTACAGCTGCTCACACTGCAGCTACACCTTCACCTACCGATCGCAGCTGGAGAGGCACATGAGCCACCACCGGGGCACCAGGGAGCAGGTAACAGTTAGCAACTACTGGAAGTCTCCATTTTTTTATTTAAAAGTTGGTTTAAATCTGTCTGTGGGTGTAGTTTTTGAATATGTGGGTCTCCTTTGTTGCAGTTTGTATTATTGTTCCTTCAAAAATAACATTCAGCTGTAGCCTGTTGTATAAGAAAAAAAATAAAAATATCGACCACAGTAATCAATGCTCTTTTTAAACCTTTGTGCTGCAGTAAACATAAATCTTCAATCTGTCTTTACAAAGGTCAAATCTTTTAGCCAATGTTCCGATGAAGTATTGACTTGATTTCAGCAAAACAAAGCAAACTATAGCCTTCGATTTATTTCTGTTATATGGACACTTCCCGTTTCTGTCTCAGCGTCACGTTTCCCAGTCGACAGGAGGATCAGGAGGAACAGGTGGAACCCGCAAGTTCAAGTGTACCGAATGTTCCAAGGCCTTCAAATACAAACACCACCTGAAGGAGCATCTACGCATTCACAGCGGTGAGCTGCTGCATTCACATACGCATACAGAGTTTGATTTAACACTGTGCTTCTTTCAAAGGGGTGTACTGTGGATCAAGTTTAGCATAGCAAGGCTTTCTGTGTGTAAGCTGGTTTGACTAAACTTAAAGGATTTTGGGTGTCACAACAGCAGTTTTTAACTTTCTTTGGTAATCCAGGTCTTCATCACCAAGCACTTCTATAAAAGGGGAAATTTGTCATGTCATTTGACTCTGTTTCTGAACAAAACCAACGGACCACTTACCCTAGTCAAGAGGAACAGCTGGTATATTAGATGTAAAGCTGTTAAGTTCAGGAACAGTCCCACCGCCATTCGTCCTTTAATCACAGGACTGTAAATATTAATATTAACATAGACACTCTACTGCCTTTCACATGTGAATTTACTTTTGGGACATGGGACACAATTACCTCTTATTTATTCTCTGATTTATTTTCACTCACTGCAACAGTATTTGGAACTTATTTAATTTATATCAGGTACTTTTACTGTGTGTGTTTACCAACCCTGCATCGTCATTTCGTTCTGCAGTGTAATTTGTATGAATGACAATAAAGTAGTCTGAAGCATAGATGTTTATAATAAAGGCCTTTATTATACATATCTATGGTCTGAAGTATCATGATGAGCTGTGAGGAATTTTTTAATTTATTTTTTTTTTACATGCTAGCAAAATTATTAGTATTGTTACTGCAAATGATGCAAGAGAGGAATGCTGATGGAAAATGGCTAATAGTGTAGCTACCACAGGGTGCTCCACAGATGAATTCATTGATTTGTGTGATTTAGACGGAGCCTTTACTCTGAAAGATAAACACCGCTCTTCCGGTCACCGGAGGTAACTCGACACCTGAGGGCTGAACCACGAAGCAAGTTTTACATCGTCAGAGTTTGTTTTTTCCCCTTAGCTGGCTCGTCAAATCCTAAAACCCCAGTCAGAGATAACGAGTGTTTGTGACCTTTGTTTGGAAGGTTTCCTACTTTGGGTTGCTTTGTGCGCGTTCACAGTCAAAGGGGGCGTTTATCGCGTCACGTGACTACTTCCGCACAAAATGGACCAATCATGCGCCGCCTACTTCAGTCAACAGGTTGTTTTCACGGAGCGCAACGAGGAATGTAAACATTCGCGACGGTAAAAAGCGCTTCTTCTGCAGATACTGCGAGACAGGAATGCTGGTAGAAAACCTCGTGTTAATATAATAATTAACGATTAATTCAGCCGCTTATTTCTGACGCAAACAACGGAACTGCGGTGTTGCAACAAATTAGGACCAAACATAAAAACACGTGATTTCTGCATGAATACATGTGGACACGCGATGGATACAGTGTGTGATACTGTGACTGCATCCTTCACTTTAAGTATATTTAGTTTGCAAATGTAATGTGGTTTGTTTAAATCCAAAACTCTTTGGAGCTTTGCAGCATAAATTACCAAACCTGTTATTCATCTTAACTGTACCTAGAAGTCCACATACACACCTAGCATAGCATAACAGTAAACTAAGCATGTGACCGCTTATGTTAATGTAGTGTTTAATTGGACTTATAGAGCTGTATGTTGTCAGCTGTTGCAGGGTAAAGTGGATATTGTTTATCCTGCACACAGATGCAGGGTCTTGCATGCAAACTATCATCTTTTTTTTGATGTGGCATCATAATCCTCTGAAAATCCCACACACAGTCTGATTTGGCCTCTACACCAACACACACGGAGAAGAAACTCAAACCTCCCACTTTACAGTCTTTTGTTGTGGTCTGACACGTAGGTTCATGTCTGACCACATGGTGAAGCAGAACAAAGACACACACACACACACTCTTCAGTTCTCTGTTATGTACTTTGAGTTTACACTATTAAAATAACAGTAAATCATGTGATATGCATTTATCTGTTGGTCTAGTTCATGTTGCAAAGAGTGAATGCTGCCAGCCTCTACTATGAAAAAGTCAGAAATCCTTCCACCTGGCTATTGACATGCTAATTAAACTAGATTTAATTATTAGTCAGTCAAATTGTTTTATGAGGCTGATTATTGAGACCGATCTTGAAGGTGGGGCCCTGACTTTCAACGAGTGATTTACGTTGCACCTATAGTAGCGTAAGTTAATATTTATTTTACCGCTCTCAGTGCAGCTGCTTATTTCTAATGTGAGAGCTGCTCATTAGTGGTCTGAAATGTTAAACTTCATATATTTAAACATGATACTCAGCATTTAGCTCTGACACTGTCCAGTAATGAAGGATCTGTGGAAATTAGTTTGTGGCCAAATAAAAGAGAATTCAGTGTTATTTTCTGTGATAAATAAACATAGACTGATAAATTTTAGCAGTTAAAGCAAATCAGAACTCCACATATCTGCAAACTCAGGAATATCATATTTTGGTAGTCAATTCATTTGTCTCTTTCAGGGGTTCTCAGTCACATCAGGGTTGAAAAACACATGTTTACCTTTTTGTTTGAGGTCAGAAATCATGTTCTGGCAATAACATTTCATACAATTATTATCAAAAACTCTATTTTTCAATGCTAGTGCCAGTGTTTTTTTCTTTGAACATTTTCCTCATTTCTCTTTGTGACCCTTTTAGGTGAGAAACCATATGAATGCTCGAACTGCAAGAAGCGATTCTCCCACTCAGGCTCCTACAGCTCCCACATCAGTAGCAAAAAGTGTGTGGGTGTAGCACCCCCCAACGGAGCTGCTCGAACGTCGATTAAATCCCCCCCACCGACCACGCAGACCAGGCCTGTTGTAATCGCTCCAGCCCGCATGATTCTCAAAGAGAAGACAGAAAGCAAACCCCTGCAGGAGCAGCTTCCTGTAACCCAGATCAAATCAGAACCTGTGGAATATGAATGCAAACCAGTGATGGCGGCACCAGCGACTTCAGCTGGTAGTAACGGAGTGGTAAATGGAGGGACGACACAGCCGGCGGTGGTCCCCACTGCAACCCTGCCACAGGGCGTGGCTATGGTGGTACCAACAGTCGGCCTGATGTCGCCCATCAGTATCAATCTTAATGACTTGCAAAATGTGCTGAAGGTAGCGATGGACGGGAACGTGCTCAGGCAGGTGCTGGGTTCGGCCAATGGGGTGGTGACACAGGGGAAGCAGGGGATTGTAGTCCAGCAGCCACAGCAGCAGATCATCAGCCTCCCGGCCTTCGTGGATCACGACGGCACCACGAAGATCATCGTCAACTACAGCATCAGCCCCACGGCCGCCACCACTGCCACTACCCAGCCTGCTGCGCTGGCCGTCAAAAATAACCCTCCTCCCCTTCCTGCTATCACAGCCGCGGCTGCTGTAGCGGCCATCCCAACCCAGACAGACAAACCCCAAACCCCCACTGACCTCACCATTGTCAAGGCAGAGCCAGAATCTGTTCCCATCACAGACGTGGAGACAGATGCAGCCACACAGACAGAAACGGCAACTGTTCCAACTTCAGAATCAGCTCAGATGCCAAAACCCAACAGCAGCAGTACGTGTTTACTATGTGACGACTGTCCTGACAACCTGGAGGCGCTGCACCTTCTCCAGCATCGCAAAGCCGCCAACGGTGAGGCCGTCGATTCTGCCGCTTTGGACCCTTCGTTCGCTGCTCTGCTGAGCGAGGCGGGAGTGACGCTGGAGGAGCCGCCTGTGGACGACCTCCTCTCACTCCTTAAGACCTACTTTGCCTCCAACGCCAATCCCAGCGAGAAGGAGCTGACCAAGATCTCAGAGTCTGTCAGTATTCCAGTGGAGGTGGTCAGGAAGTGGTTTGTCAAGATGAACTCTGGGAAGCATGTGGGCAAATGCCACAGCGATGCTACATCAGTTTCCAAAAAGACTGAAACCACAAATTCCAGCTCAGAGGACACGTTGAATCAGAATGAAGAGGAAGATGAAGGCATCCAGGAAGCATCCAACAACGCCTCGTCAGAGTCTGGCAGTGTCTCTCCGTCAGACTCCACGTCGCTCAGCCTCAACAACGGGGACCTCGTCATTGTTAAGAGCGAGCCCGAAGACCCAGAGGCCATCGACTCCCAGGCAGAGCCTCTGGATCTTTCTCTCCCAAAACATATCGCAGCAGCATTGGAAAACAAAACGACCACGCCTCCCGCCAAGCAGCAGGAGCAGCCTCTGAACCTGACCTGCTTGAGGAAGGAGCAGCTGGAGGGTCGGACCATCTACGTCACCACGCCTCAGACCGGAAGACCTGTTAACATCGTCACTGCCGCACAGCTGCCCACCTTGGTGGCCATTGCTGGTCAGAGCACAGTGGGCTGCCTCAGTGCCATCAACACCACAACAAAGCGCACCATCCTCATCCCCCAGCTCACCTATACGTACGCCACTACGGCCAACAACGCCACTGGAGCCAAGACTGTCGTGCTCAATGGCCACAAGGTTGGTAGCGTTCTGGGTGATTATGAGTCATTATGTCGAAATAATATTTCCTCTTTAGGCATTTATAAAGTCTAAAAAGCTAATCTGGACCCCGAGGCTCAGAAACCAAGCAGTTTGTAGGTGTTTCTGGTTCCTTCCTGATTTGTCACCACAATATGAAGTCCTACACCTCTGTGGAAAAAGCACAGGAATGACTATAAGTATAGAGAGCTGTGTTTTGTGCAGTATGACAGTTGTAACGTCACAAACACATAATCAACAATTTTTCTAATGTATAGAGATGAATAATGTTGCATGTTTGACTCAGAGTTAACTTTACCTGTTTAAATGTATGCAACCAAAGTGATTTTGCAGTAAACATTAAGCGTCAGTGTTTTATCAGCACTTGGACAAACATTCTGTGTATTTCCTTCATTTCAAGTTATTCTATTATTGATTGATAACGTGGCCGACTGTCGGTGAAGGAAATTGTTTAGAATTTGCATCCCTTGTTCAAACAATGACATGAGCACCGTTTCCATCCAACAGCTCAATCAATATGCTTTATTACATCTACTTATTGTGTAAAACACTCCAAATATTTTTGACATATCTGCTTAAACATGAAAACTTTGATTCCATAAAGACACACGTGTGTCTTTAGACTGACTGATGGAAACCATCTGCATGTTGGACTGCAGCAGGAATTACATCAGTAGCTGGATTTTATCCCTGATCTCTGTAGACCAGCTCAGGGGACACATATCCTCTTGTGCCTGACCGTGCACCTTTAGGAGACGTTCAAACTCCTGGTTTCTACACTTTCACACCCAGAGATGTATTCTGTTTTGTCATTGCTGATTGTTGAGGACAGTTTAGTAACATCAGCATCAACTGTCCAGACCTTTTTGACAAAACTGTGCTTGCAAATCGACTGTCAGCGGATACAATGGTGAATGTCCCTTTTCCTCCACTGACAGCAGGAGAAGCGTTTGGCGAGCAGCCCTGACGGTGTTTCCACGGTGGAGGAGCAGAACGACTCGGATTCGGTTGCGCTGATGAAGAAGCGGCGGCTGGAGAACGGCGTCTATCCCTGTGATCTTTGCTCCAAGGTCTTCCAGAAGGGCAGCTCCCTGCTCAGGCACAAATATGAACACACAGGTACACGTGGTTTTAAGATGACTTCTCATTCTCAGATGTGCTGGATTTCACATCGATGTGCTCATTTGTTATCCCGAGATGGAATAATGTTTTATTGAGCAGAGGTTTGTTTTCCTTTTAAACCACTGAGTTGCCCAAAAGTAGCTCTGGTTTCCAAAAGCTGCGATTTCTCATGTGACATCATCCCTCAGTAAATGTGTTGTAGTCTAACTTTTACGGGACACCTGGCTTGTAAATGTGCCGCTCGGAAACATTTGACATCAGTATTTACAGAGACGTGACTCGCGCGGCGAATCGAAACGGATATTTTACCCGAAGCTCCAGCTAGTTTCACGTTGGAATGTGGTTTTATTGAAGTCTGTTAGCGGTTATCTGTGCACGGCACTACTGTGCACAGGTGTGTGTTGGTTCGGCCATGACATCATCCACTTAAACAGAAACTATACACACAAAATTCACCGGCGGCGCTCTTGTAAAACACGAGCTCCGTAAGTGAGAAACCTTCGGGGGATTAACTGCAGAGCTCTAAAAGCACTTTAAAATGCATTTACACAAAATGATCACAGCCACACATTATCAGAGAGCTTTATAGGGCTTTAATGAGTCGTGTTGAGTCAGCGCTATTTGGTCAGGTGCTGGGATTTTAAAATGTCAAAAGCCACTGACTCACCTTTACTTAGAACAGCTTTGGATTACAGCTTCAGCTAGTGCCAAGTAATCTCTTAATTATGTTTGCAATTAATCAATTAGTTTGCTCTTTAAAATGTCAGAAAACTGTAACATTTTCATTCTGTGTTTCCCAAAGCCCGAGATGACGTCCTCAAGGTCTTGTTATGAAAGATGTTCAGTTTACGGTCATACAGGAGCACAGAAACCAGAAAGTGTCACATTTTAAGATACCAGAATCAGAAAATGTAGATTTTTGTACCTTTTAGCTGAGGAGCCTGTATTACAGAGTCTCCCAACCTTTTTTTAAAATTATTTCTTTGCTTGTGAACCCACAACTCTTTTGACTTCTTTAAACATGAAAATACCCAATGTGACGATGAATTGATAATGATTTGCTTTGTCAGAATAAAACTCCAAAACCTAAACTTACTAAAGGCATTTGTAACCATCACATGTCAGTAGAGCACCAAAGTAACCAAAGTAACAGGTATGAAGAGACGCTGACTTTACTCTCACATAAGAGGAAGAAGAAATACTCTTTTTAGGAACTTGGACCCAGAAATGAGAAAAGCAGACATGATAGTGAAATCTGAAATGACAAAGAGATTTGTTGTTTGGCTTTTCTAGTCTTATTTATATTATGAGCCGTCAGGTTTAGAAACAGGTTTGGAATCACTGCTTTAACCCTCTGAGGCCTGAACATGTTTCTGGGCGTTTGTTTGCTCCTCTGACAGTTTTACTCACTTTGAGCTCATTTTTCACGCCAACATAAAGAAACATCAGAACCTCAGCAAGAAGGAGAGAGAACTCAGAAATGGCTTTTGTGCAAAATAACAAAGTTAGAATCGTGTAAGTCATACTTTTTTTTTTTTAATGTGAAAAAGTCTTAACTCAACATTTTTCCAAATGTTAAAAAGAGCGACCAACACTGGAAAAAATGGCGACTCTACAAACTAAAGATGTTCATATTTACATTTTTAATTTGTTTAATTTGTTTCTTGTCTCCCGTTCACTTGGTGTAAACACAGTCCAGTTTAGTCAAACAGTCTCAGAATATTTGTGACATGATTGTTGCTGTTGGCCTCATGGTTGCAGCGAGGTGCGCCGAACATTTAGTTTTGTTTCTGGACACTTTATTTTTGAGGTTTTTCTTAAATGAAACATGGAGAAAAATGAGATTTTCATTGAATTTTATGCTGTGATTTTTTTCATAAAAACAGCAAATTACAAATAAGTCGTCTAAGGACCAGTGGAAAGTTCAAAATCTAACATTTCTTTTTGTTTCTGACCGTGATAAATAAAATAAAAAATTCAAGGTGACATGTCTTTTGTAGCCTGCAGGCAGGTTTCCAGGTGCAGACGACCAAATAAGATAATAACTGATGCATTTCTGCAAAACATTTAATGAACACTTTCATGTTTGGCTTTAAATGCTGTCTTTCCTATCGCCGGTTGTTCTTCTGTTTTTTCACTCATGCAGCGTTTCTTCGTCTCTTTTCTGACCTGCAGGAAAACGGCCCCACGAATGCAACGTCTGCAAGAAGGCCTTCAAACACAAACACCACCTGATCGAACACTCGAGGCTGCACTCCGGGGAGAAACCCTACCAGTGCGATAAGTGCGGGAAGCGATTCTCTCACTCGGGCTCGTACTCCCAGCACATGAACCACCGCTACTCCTACTGCAAAAAGGACGGGCCCAACTCGGAGCCCCCCGGCTCCATCTCAGGGCCACGGAGTGTCCAGATGGAGCTCGGCAGCCCCGGCACCGGACCGCAGTCGGACAGCCGGACCACGACACCGCCCTCCCAACTGGACTCAGACGAGAGGGAGAGCGAGGAAGAGGAGGATGAGGACGACGAGGCCATGTGTATGGACGACATCCGGGTGGTGCAGGTGGACGACGGCGAGTGCGAGATCTACGAGGGCAACTTTGACGACGACGAGGAGGATGGAGAGGAGCTGGGGGAGGAGGAAGTAGAAGACGAAGAAGAAACTGAAGGAGAGAAGGCGGAGGAGGAGTTTGTTTGTGACGTCGTGGAAGTCGAGCTGGGGGACGCTCACATGGAAATGGACAACGAGATGGAGGACAGAACCGACGAAAAGGAGGAATCGGCAAGTGCGGAGGAGATGGCAGACTGTGAAGCAAATACGGACAAAAGCATCAGGGAGGAGACGGACAGCAGCGAACCAACAGAGGAAGAGGTGACAGACGCCAAATAGAGGAAGGTTTCTTCGGGACAGTTCGAATGTGTCGGTCAATGAAGTTATTTTAGACAAAACCGCATCTTGCCATCAGAAGAAAAGTCACGGCAGTTGCCTGATCTTATAACGGTCCACTACTGTGTACAAAAACCCAGGTGTGCCTGAACTTGAAAAAAGAAAAACAAACAAAAAAAACCCAGTGACTTTTTATTTGTGAAAATGAAATATCAGTGTTTAAAATTGTTTATAGAAGTACAGATTTTAAAGTAGAACTCACCCGTCAACTTGTTAGACTTGTTACTGAGACATCCCAGGTTGGTTTTGTTTGTTTTCATTCAGTCAGTGTTACTAATCTCGTTCTTGTTTGAAAACCTTTTAACCTGTAAAGATGAGAAAGATTTCTATACCTTTTTATTGCCAATGAAGTTTCCTAAATCAGTATTTTATTGAGTTCTACGAACAAAAAACCTCTGCACTACAGTAATCCTGGTTTACCTATGGATACATGCCTCATGCATCGTATGCCCTTCAGTGTTATATATGTACACTAGCTAGCGAGATGTCGTTTGTGTTAGTGTTAGTCTTTGCTAGCTAGCATTTCTTTTTGTTTTTCAGTTTGACTGTTAGCCTTAAGGAAAACAAAGTATTCTTGGGGAGGGTTGTGGGCGGGATGGGGAGTCCGGGATGAGAATGCGGCTTCTGTACGCCATAACCAAATTTGTCCTATCAGGGAAGGTAGAGTCAGAACCTCAAAGCCAGCATCGGGTGCCTTTGTTTCGCTCACCCAGCGCGGCGCAGACGGGCGGAGTCTCCAGGTGAAGATTCAAAAGCAGACTCCAGTTTCCCTCGCCGCCCTGCTGCGGTATCGAAACACCGGCGCCTATTCTTACCAAGCTTCTCCTTCTTTTTTTGGTTGACTTTTTAAGTTCTCAGTCCGTGTTTCAGTATTATTAGCTTATATTTGAAGTCATACTGTACGTAAAGGATCGGGGCTGTTTCCTGCTCCACCCCAATGCCTCCAGCCTTATGCAAGACCTGTGTGCTGTTAAAAGTGCCATTGAACAGTGTTATTATTTCTTCTTCTTCACACATGTAGCCAGTATTATGTCCTCTTTTGTTACTGACACAAGACCCATGTTTACTAATGTTTGTTGACTTGCACAGAACAGCAAATTTGTCACAACAACAGAAAGCTACTTCCTGTGAAATTAATTAAAACGTTTGAGGCCTTTTTTAAAAAAAGTATTAGGAGCTGCATTAAAGACGACAAACAGCATTTTGACCCAATTATAGTTAATTAATGTGCTGACCATATACTGTGTGTTAATTTAAACACTGTCAGTCAACAGTACATTATAATTCAGCAGAGCCCAGTTTGCCGTCATCACATGTCCTGTTTTATCTGCCAAAAACCCACAAACGCTCAGTTTAGAGAAAAGCTGAAAACTGTTTCATAGCAGAGAGTATTTTGCATTTTTGCGATTAATCAGCTCAACATCTTTTAAACAAAACGATGTTCCAGCTGCTTATATTTGCATACTTGCTGTTGGGTAATAGTTTCCGGCATCTTCGACTTGTAGTTGGAAAATTAAAAGTTTTGAAGCAACAAAAATGTGCATAAACTGTCAAAAACCTTCACAGTCCAGACTGAGCTTTCCTGTGGATATAAACATGCCTTGCAACCTTGAGATAATCAGTTTTCACACGCTGAACTCTGTCATAAATCAGACGTTATTAAGATGTTTACATCCCTGAACATGCAGGGAGCGATTCAACTCCGACTTGACGTCGTGCCCCAGCAGGCTGGCTCAGGAAGAAACGAAACAGAAGAAATCCAGATCAATTTAAAGTAAAATACACTTAGAAATATATCCAGTCACACGTGTGCACTTGTTTTCAGATAGAAATTGTGGCAAATTGTGTCCCGCACTTCAGGTAACAAGCGTTAGTGAATGTGGTCTCTCTCTGTTGAAGAGTTTTGAGTTGGTTTTACCGAACAGTGTTTATTAGTATTAGTCTGTTTTAATTTTTTTTGTGTTTTTAATGTGTGTCCTCTGTATGTTTTTGTCAACAATGGCAGTATTAGAACCCTTTTCACAGATTAAAAAAAAAATATACCTGTTTAGTTTTTAGAAGACTTTTTTATATTTATGTGTCTTATTTTTATATTTTCTTTTATGGTTATTTATTACACATTGTAGTGTACATTACTGTAGTTTGAATTGATACAATAATATATTTTAGTATGAAAAATAATCTCAAGACAAACAAAAATTCCCAAAATGTGGTTCTGGGAGATGGAGTTTGTTTTAACAAAAAAATAAAAAATAGGGGAAAAAAAAAAAGGTTAAACCTTTTTTTTTTTAACTTTGCTTTTTTTTTTAGGTTAAAAATTAAAAAATATAAATATAAAAAAAACAAGAAAAGAAAAAAGACAGGAATGAAGTGAGAAATAGAAACTGTTACATGTGCATCCGCTCTTTGCGTCGTTATAAAGCTACTGAATTCTAAAACTCTGTGATTTTTAAAGCATGAGTCGTCGCCGTTTTAATGAAGGATCTTGTTATGAAGACGTTACTCCTCCCATTTTTATTTTGAAGCCAAATTTTACATCGTCCCGCTTCCCAGTTTTCTGTTCTGTGCCAACTTGTTCCATTGTACTGTTGAAGGTTTGCATAATGTTTGTCCCCCGACACACCCCTTTGTAAATCCACTGTCTTTTTGTATTGTTTTTATTTTAGGTTTGCTCCATTTTTATGACTCCCCATCACAATAAAATGTAAGACAGCAGCTCTGAGTGACCTGATTTTTGCTCGTTTCGTCAGTTCACTTGAATTAAAAGTGTTTTTGGATGTTGGTTTGTCAGATTTGACCTCCAGTCAGTCTGTAAGTTCTCATTGAAACGACTGAAACACGCCTGTAAGGTCACAGAATTTCTTCACAAAG